CCCCCCCCCCCCCCCCCCCCCCTGTCATCGGAGCCAAAGGGCTTAGGTCCACTACACAACATCGAAATATGCACACGACTGCATTTTGGTGCAGGTACGTTCGGACTGACCCCACCATTTGAAAACGTATGGGGGCAGCGGCAAGTCGCACACATAGGTTTTCAATGTTGCACAGTGGAGCGAGGGCTCTACTCCAGAAGACAAGAAGAAGCTATCTATATGCGCCAAAAAACACTGGAGGAGAACCCAACCCAACCCAACCGAACCCAGCCCACGTGGCTGAATGGTGGTGCAGCAGCCATATGACAGTTGAGGGGCAGACCACAGCTCGAGCCCCGTCGAGATAAGTCACGCTCACTTACACTTACCTGGCGCCGATCGATTCGAAGAGATTACAGTATTTCTCAGCGCCGATCCGTTCGAAGGATTGTTTCTCAGCGCCGATCAGTTCGAAGGATTGTTTCTGAGCGCCATCGCCCTTTTGAAAAAGGCAAGAAGAAAGAGGACAAAACGGAGGGGGGGGGGAAAAAAAAAGGAGGAGAAGAAGAACACTAAGAATCAGGGAGGGGGTAGTGGAAGAGAAGGGCAAGGAGGAGGAAGAGAGGGGAGGGAGAATTGGCGAAAGAGGGAGAGCGAGGAGAGGAGGAGGAGGAGGAGGAGGAGGAGGACGGCTATGGCGGGGCGTTTCAAGGTCACTGACTGAGTATGCTCACCTGAGCGCTTAGCGTTCGGTGATGGAGGGAGGAAGGAAAGCCCCAGGGGGTAGATATGGCTGCTCAAGGCTCCTGACCATGGCGATGGCCCCTGCTCCTCGGCTGCTTCGCCGAGCTCGCGCATGCAGGCAGCAGACTAACCAGTTACCCCTACTCCTCCTCAGACCTCCGCACGCAGTGAAAGTTGTGAAAGCCAAGCCCACCACAGTGAAAATCCCCCCAGCCTACGCGGGTGAAACCCGACCCGCGGTAAATCTCCCGCCAAGGATCTTCTTTCCTTTTACCTTATCGAGATCTCTGCCCCCCGGTGAATCGCTCCACCCGCGGTGAATCTCCCTTCCTTCCCTTTCGGATACTTTTTCACTGACATTCATCCTGTATCTGCCACTGCGACGTGGACTGGATGCATAACAACGGACGAGGCTCGCACCGACACGCACGCACAACATTCCACAAGTGTATCTTCGCTGGGCCGGGGCTAGGTCCCACTTACACGAATTAATAAGCGATATTGACCGTAGATACGATAGCACAGATCAATGGCCAGGATCTCTTGATCCGTGCAAGTGGGACCTTGCCCCCGGGGCTAGGTCCCACTTACACGAATTAATAAGCGATCTTGACCGTAGATAGGATGGCAAAGATCAACGGCCAGAATCTGTTAATCAGGGCAAGTGGGGATCTTGCCCCCGGACACATTCGAATCGTTAGACCGGCCTGCCTGCATGTGTCGGGGGCTAGGTCCCACTTGCACGAATTATGAGATACTGACCGTAGATAGCAAAGATCAACGGCCCAAATCGCCTGATTTGCGCAAGTGGGACCTTGCCCCGGGTCCATACACACATGCGAGCCCCAACCTCTCTCGTGATCTCGGACCACGTCCGTCCGCGAGACGTGGAAGGTGAGATGACGACGTTTTTTTTTTTTTTTTTTTTTTTTTTTTTTTTTTTTTTTTTTTTGAGTCATCGTTGCGCAGGGGCCATGCTAATCTTCATTCTCTGACGGGCGAGTCAACCCCCATTCCTTCGGGATAGACATTGCAACAGATGGAAATCTGCAGCGCAGATTAAGGACACCTTGGGTCAGATCCCAGACCAGGAGGCTCGTTTCCGGCTGTTACTAGAATCTATCCCGGATGACTGGAAACAGATCCTAGGTCCGGAAGGAACAGATCCTCCAGGCACCTGGTACTCCACTATCTATGAAGGAGCCGAACGGTTCTGCCGGCTAGAGAGCTGGTCAGAGGACAACACGGGGAAATGCTGGCTTGAAACGTACAGTCGAACGCATCCGAACCTTCCTACCCTATCGAGGGACGGGATGCGTCAGCAATATGGTCTGGCGGAGATGGGTGAGGTCAGAGTGAGACTGGTTGTCAAAGAGGAGGGTCTCCCTCCGACCCCGGTACTGGTGGGGAATGGGACTCTGCTGCACTGTCTGCGGATCGACCCAGAAGTGTGGGGCTGGCAAGTGGAGGACTCAGTGACCTTCGGCTTGGGTAATTTAAATGCGGCTTTGATTTTAAAAAGGAAGTGTCACTCGTCAACGATTGTGAGGAAAGTCTCCACCAGGTGGGCAGGGGGATCATGCTTTGGGTTATTTGGCTAGACAGGAACAGCCTCAGGTTCCAAGGCAAGAGCTTGGAGGAGCAAGCAGCGGAAGCCTTGTTCAAGAAGCTGCTTGCTGCAGCAATCCGGGCTGACTGGATCCGCAAGGTCCAACAAGGGGAGCAAGTGCAGGGCAGGCAGGAGGTGGTTCGATAAAACATGGGGTCTGGGGTTGGCACATATTTCGATTGAGGGTAAGTTGGTTCTGGGGAATTGGCTAAGCTGAGCTCTGGTGAGAACCAGGGCACTCGGTTCCAGTGGGCGGCCACGGTAGGCCGCAAAAGGAGGGCAAAGTCGGCCCCTTGGACAGCGTCCTCCCTGCCATGGTTAGGCGGGGCCTGTGGCCAGAGGCCCAGGAGGTTGACCTTGACTGTTGGTGGAGAGTGCCTCTCCTGCCGCAGGGATGATTAGGTTAATTTAGATCAGGTATAGAGTAGGTAGGTACGGCAGGTTTAGTAATAGGGTCGGTTCATTTGCAAGTTGTGAATTCCCTCTAGTATATTTCTGCGGTCACTTGAATAGCTCGATGGATTGTTCATGATAGGGAATAGTCTTGTCTGACGAGAAGTAAGCTAAACCGGCTGATGCTGCCGGGATAACTCCGGGTTGAATTGTGAGGTCCCCGGCCTCGATTCGTTTCATTTGGAGTATAAGAATGAATGTTTTTTTTTAAAAAAAAAAAAAAAAAAAAAAAAAAAAAAAAAAAACACTTCATTCTCTGTATCGTTCCAATTTTAACGGATGTCCCGAAGGTCGGTTCTGCTCTTTTACTCCTCACAAAGGCGGCAGCCTGAGGAAATCACCTGTGAGGTCACGGGCCTGAGGTAAATTCAGAGTTACTTTTTACTCGTCTGGGTCCGCCAGCACTCGAACTCAGGTCTCTATTTTAACAGTTGGGGGCTGTACCAACTGGCCAGTTGGTGCAGATGACGGTTTGGGCGCCAGAGGAGACACAGGCGGTTTGGTGCCAGGAGACCGCAGCGGTGATGACGCCGCGTCATACACCTCGTGCAGACTGATATGCGGGTGCATTTTTTTTTTTTTTTTCCTTTTTTTGTATGCGGGTGCATTAGCTGAGCCTCATTAGAAACTCACACACACAAACAAAGCACGGTTCCACTAGCACACGAGTCATGTTCTATTGTGTTAATGGTAGAGAACTGGGAATCCTCTGTTCCCTCGTAATAATAATAATAATAATAATATAAAAAAAAAAAAAAAAAAAAGACACCTGATGATCCTGACAAGGCAGTCAGGTGAAACCGGTAGGGGGTCGTCGCCGAAGCGGAATCTTTTCCGCCATAGCTGTTGTATTCATCGTTATATTTTTAACAGCGGCGGTCGCCTTCGGGTTTTTCGGTCTTGGTTCTCTCTGTCGTTCCTTGTTTGTTCTGTCCGTCATGTTGATTGATCTCCGTTGAATGTTGTATAGTGATCGAATGTTGTACTTCTCAGAAAAAAAAAAAAAAAAAAAAAAAAAAAAAAAAAAAAGTTGTACTTCTCAAGTATCTACTACTACTACTACTACTACTACTACTACTACTACTATTTGGACCTGTGCGGCACTGTAAGAAAAGGAAGAAAAGAAATTTAAAGATTAAAAAAAAAAAAAAAAATGGCGACGTTACATTTCCCAAGATGGGAAGGAGGCCGACTTTTGAAAGTGCTGCCGTCCCACTAACCCTCCCGTCTCCTCGCCCTGCTCCCCACCCAGCCAATGCCTAATCAGGACAGAGTGGTCCGTGACTGTTGCAGTCTCGCGTACCACCACCGCGAGGGAGTCCCTTCGTGTGCCTGATGGGACTCCCTTCTCTGACGGTTGCCATGCTGAAGCGTGCATTTCGTATATTTTGAGAGAAAATCGAAGTACTGGATGGGGTTCACGATTGACCGGGAAAAAGAAGGGGGTCAAAACCATGCCCTTCGAGTACTTGATTTTTTAAAATCTTTTGAAGAGCTGCCAATCAAAACGAGTCTTTCTATTTTCTTTTCCCACCTCCCATTCTTGGGAACTGGAAGGAAAAAACACAAAACAAAAACAGAACACCACTTCAGAATATAAATCCCTCCCAATTTCTCTGCCCTCCTATTCTCTCCTGCATCAGTGGCCGGATGATGTCCTGCAGATGTCCCAAAGGTGTTTGTGGGACACAGTTTACAGTTTACCTTACTCCTTTGCTAGTGGTCGGACGATGTCCCGCAGATGTCCCAAAGGTGTTTGTCCCAACCGTGCTCCTTGTGGTCACAGAACCATGAGACCAGCAGAGAGATCCAATCGTGGCGAAAGAGCAAAAAGAAAGGAAAATGAAGACGTAACGAGCCCCCATCCTCCACAGCGCCGAGCAAAAAGAAAGGGAAAAGAAGACGGAACGGCCTCGCTCCACTGCTCACGTCCTCCACAAAAGATTAAAAAAGACATGGAAAAAATAAATAATGATGTTTTTTTCCGTGTTTTAGTACCTTTGCCGCTTGGGAAAATAGCGGGCCTCGGGTAGGCGTCCGACCTTTTCAGAGGCCGAAACGAAACGACGGCCGCCGATCAGATTTATCAATGGCAGTCGTGGTCGGGCCCGACCTCCAAAAATTCAGGAGTTTAGTGCTATTTTCCCACGCGGGAAAGGAACTAGTGCTATAATTTGCAAAATACCCCCATAAGTTGAGATATGTGCCAATATGCCCCTGAAAGATGTGGGTAGAGCGGAATGCCCCTCTGACAAAAAGAAAAATGTGTGAAATACCCGTCGCGTGGGTTTGGACCCCCCATCTTTGTGATATACCCCTATGGGGTACCATCCAACTTTTCCAAATGCCCATAACTTGGCAACTTTCCAAAGGCCCAGTTGCAAAAGGCCATGCCCAAACAGCAAGGTCCAGATTGCAAATTTGCACACCCACCTGACAGGGGCATAACACAAAGATTTCGGCCCAAAAGGGCATTCCGCTTTAGCCACATCTTCCAGGGGCATTTTGGCATATATCTCAACTTATTATGGGGGTATTTCGCAAGTTCACCCTTTTTTTTCTTTCTTCTCTCAATCTTGTTTGTCTATATTTTCCTCATCTATCTCATCCTCTCGCTACTCGATTCAAGCCTCGTTCTACACCACTTGAAAATACTTGAGTTTCAAGTACACACTACACGACAAATTGTGCACTTACTCCATTTATGGTTCCATGTTGTCCCCAAAAAAAGAAAAAGGTTCCATGTACACTTTAGGAAACCCTTGAACAGGTTGCACACTTGAAACCCAAATCCACGCACGGCTTGACCAATCCTGGACTAGAATCGCCTGCTGGGAAAAAAGAAAAAGAAAAAAAAAAGACCCCCCACTTGGAGTGCTGGCGGTATCCGCTGGCACTTGAACTCAAGGCTCCCCAGAAAGGTACCTTGAGTTCTAGTGCGATTTTTACCCCCCCCGGCCGGGCGGGCTCTTGAGAGCCGGCAACTCCGCACCGACGTTAGGGTGGTGGGGTCGAACCAAGAAGATTCCTTCAACCCTTAGTTCAAGTGGTGTCGAACAAGCCCCTATGCATAGTAGTACGGGGGGACCACCACCCAACCAAGCCTGGAACTCTCCGCAGCCACGGGGTAGGTTGGCACCACAGCAGTGGGTTTTTTGTTTTTTTCCCATTCTTTTTTTGCCGCTGAAACTACATTGTTCTCTTCGTTTCGTTTTGTTTTTAATGTTTTTTTTGTCTTTTCGTGGTACGCACAGCCGCCAGACGTGACCATAGGGGGGCTCTCTCCGCCACTCGTGCGACGTGCAAAATAAGAATGAATCTACCGGTAGAACATGGGAAGATAGATACACCGCTGTATTTTTTGTCGTTTGTGCACGTCTTGAGTAGTGGAGCGAGGCATTGTCGTTTGTGCACGTCTCGAGCTGTGGAGCGAGGGCAGTGTGAAGGGGGGCATTTTTCAACAAGGGGCCTTGTGACATTGCCCAACTTCACGATTTCGTCTCGTCCCCGCGGCGAAGGCCTTGAGATATTATCATCAAACTGACCAGACCCAGGTAATTTAGAAGTATTTCATTTCATTCATCCAGTTCCATCAGCTGGATCCGAACTCGGGTCTGTGTGTTTGAACAGTTCATGGGTGTACCAGCTGGGCTAGGCCCATTGGTTGGAGTGTGTTTGTCTCCGGTCCTCACCATAATCACCCCCACCTTTAAGATGATTTCAGCCACAAAGTCGGTCTTTCCCTCCGCGACTACATAGAACGCCCGCCCATTATAGCCGTCTTTTTTGGTGCATTCTCAGTCTCTCAATACAGCGAGAATTGCTCGGCTTTCTAGTGGCGTTGACTACGTTCTTCCGTAGCTAGCTGTCTTGGAATTCCACGGCAACTGCAGTTGAGTTCCTTTCCACACCACAACATATCCTTCTCATGCTCGCTTTCGTTTATATCACATTCCATGAAAGACTCCGCCACATCCCCCCCCCACCTTGCTGTGCTCTTTGTACAACTCACCACCACCAAAGGATGTTATGGGACGAGACATATCCTTCTCACTCTAGATGTATAAAGTATCAAGGTTGGATAACACTACATAGACAAATGTGAAGGGACGAGACATGCGCATTGAACGTGTATGCAACCCGCCACCAAAGGATGTTATGAATACTCTAGATGTATTCATTTATTAAATTATCAGGGTTGGGTAACACTATACATAGACAAATGTAAAGGGACGAGACATGCACATTGAACATGTATGATGGGACTGAAAGAAAAAAAAGGGCCACAGCCTTGAGAGATCATCCTGAAACCCACCAGCACCGGGTAATTCAGGGGAAGGGATAATTGGTAGAAAGCGCCCACGCCAAAATCTTTTCAGTTTTGGGCGCCCGAAACTCGGGCGTTTGGTACTATCGGCCCAATGACTTCCATGTGGGGTGCTCAGGCCCACGCGTCCCTCCAACGGCCCTACCGGATCAAGAATCTGGCGCATAACAGCGCCAGATTAATTTTGATGTAAAAGAGGCCGACGGTCAGGTGGTACCGCTGAAGCATGGAATGAGGTCCACGTACGGGATTTTGAAAAAGAAAGGCCCTACCAGTTCATGAATTTGGCGCAAAAACAGCTACCGGTTCATGAATCTGGCGCAAAAACAGTGCCAAATTCTTGAACCGGTAAGAACAGGCCCAGGGAGATGTGGCCACCGTGCGAAGGCGCCTTTCACCCAGGCTGAAGACGGTTCGGGCCGGTAGTGCCAAACGGCCGAGTTTCGGGCGCCCAAAACCAAAAAGGTTTTGGCGTGGGATCTTTGCTACCAATTATCCCTAATTCAGGAATTTTGTTCATCTGGTTCCATCTGGATTCGAACTCAGTTCTGTGCAATGAACTTGCAGATTTCCAGTGAGCCATAGCACTCGTAGGGTTAATTTTGTAATTTCTCACAAGTTCTGGGCCTTCGCCTGTAATTGACCGAGGCCCAGTCCGTATGGGGACTTCTCTGCAAATACCAAATTTCTACTACAGTCTGGACTGGTATTGCGGGTACTCAGGACTGTAGAGCGCCCGTTCTCAGGTAGGCAGGTCCGGCAGGCCCGCGTCCAGTCAGCCGTAGGGCAGGACTAGATATAGATTGAGGTCGAGGGGAGTTGGGTTCTTTTCCTTAGTTTTAAGGGTTTTGGCATATGGGAAGAGCACTGGGTGAGCGCTGCTGCAAAGTTTTGGTCGTAGCAGCCTGTTTCTTCTTCGTGAAGCGGGCCGAGGCTGAGAAAGCCCGTAGAAGACAGCTCTCTCTGAAGTGGGGGTTCAGGCGATGGATGCATCTGACCTTATCTGCGCTGTTGGAGGCTAGGCGCCGCCACTCATGTCCTCCACGGCAGCCATCTTTTCTTCTTCTTCTTCAAAGTGAGGCTTCTTCGTCATCCAGGCAGCCCTGGCGCTGCCCATCCAGACGGGTGCTGACTTGGCAGAAAGGGATTTCAGGCTTCTCTGCGCAAGCGCTTGACGTGGGTCGGCGCGTTGCTGGTCTGCAGGTTGGGCACTGACGGTGATGAGCGCCATAGCCATCGTTAGAGAGGAGAGGTTGGAGGAAGACGGAAGACTCCCTTTTTGTTAGTTAAAACATTGTTATAATTCGCTCGTGGTTGTTTAAACACAGTTAGTATCATCAAAATTTCGTGTTGGTGATTGGTTGGAGGAGGAAGGGGGAATCAGATTTGAAACTTCCACTTCAAATCTAATTTCCATTTCGAGCTTCCAGTATCGACATCTCTCCAGTTTTGTGTGGATTTGCCTCCCCTCCAAGTCTGCTTCATGATTGCACGCATGTATAGAAACTTGTGAGTTTGTTGTGAATGGAGTTTCAATCAGCGACTTAACATCTGGCATTCCAACAGTTTACGCTATGCGTTTACCAACTGAGCTCTCATCCCATTGGTACATTCGGAATTTTAGTAGACTTCCACAACTCAAATGAATAAAGTCACTCCCTTTGACCAGGAGGGGGTCTTGGAATTTTAGTCAACTTCCATGACTCAAATGAATAAAGTCACTCCCTTTGACCAGGAGGGGGTTTTGGAATTTTAGCCAACTTCCATGAATCAAACGAATAAGCTAACTCCCTTTGACCAGGAGGGGGTCCAGGAGACTCACTCAAATGCCCACCATTGACCCACCCACACTTCAGAAGTGGAAATGACACTCTGTGACAGCAGGATGAATTGCACCGGCAATCCAGCTATTCTTCATTTCTACTTCTTTTGCCATCACCAGCTGAAAGCCACGTGCTAAGTTGCTTCCAGACATTCAGGACACCGGTCCGTGGGCCAGCCATTTTCCTCCCAGGCGACCGATAACGAGCTGCAAGTTTCGCTGGTCAGGCCTACATGAGGAAAATGGCTGGCGGCGTCAAACAGGAGGCGGCCTATGCTAGTTTGTTTCTGTTTTTGGCGCGGAGGGCGCTTCCAACTTTCCAGCCCCGGGGAAGCGTGGCTCGTATGAGATGAGATATTTATTCCAACACAGTTCAATATGTGTTTCCTGCTCCATTCTCATACTGCAGCGTTCCCGCTATGCACAAAATTGAATACCATATTGAACTGTGGCTCGTATGAGAGAGAGAGAGAGAGAGAGAGAGAGAGAGAGAGAGAGAGAGAGAGAGAGAGAGAGAGAGAGAGAGAGAGAGAGAGAGAGAGCAGTTTACTTTTGGAACAACCCCCACCTTGGGTGGAATTACCCTTGCCGTGAGCAACACAAATTGCAGTCAACAACACAAGCACACAGAGACTTACAATGCCAGCGGCCCAGCACGTGCCATGGCAAAGAATACATAGAATAACATGCCCGGTTGTTGTGCAGGATTCTTTTCTTTAACTTTTGAAGGCCACAGAAAATATGTGGCCGTTAAAAAACAAGATGTGAAGCGTCGGGCGGAGCGCCGCATGAGAATAAAGCCTGGAAGCATCATCGTCATCAGGGGAAAAGACTAAAGGTAGGAGAGAGCTGCTTATCCAAGTCCCCCGTTTGGCAGCAACAAAAGCGCTGAGCGATGGCAGATGACCCAAGGAAAAGGGACATGCACTGACAAAATCTCGAAAAGCTTCATAACCGACACGGAGACAGCCTCAAAGAGTGCTCCAGCGTTGTCCATCGCAGAAGTCTGGAAACCATTTGCACTCTCATGTAGGACTTCAAAGGGTGCCTGCATCAACACGATTGTCAAGACTAGTTTTCGCTCTCTCCAAGTAGGTGATTATCACTCCATTGAATCCATCTCCCAGTCAAATGTGACCATCCTCTTTCGAGTCTATCGTCTCCCACTTGTAGGTCATTATTCTGGCAACTCCAGTTAGGCCCTCTACTGCACAGCCTGGAGTGCTTCTGCCAATGGAGAAGGCTTGCACTGGTCTTATAGTCTTTGGCCTCCTGTGCGCACTCTGAAAGCCTTCACCATGCTGCATTTGTCGCTACACTGGCTGGACAGAGGCTGGACAGACGCTCAAACCATGGTTAACGTATGAGCTGGTTACTCATGTGCACGCATCAGCTCCTGCATCCCTGAAGTATACATGACTGCCCTTCATCAGAACCCGCTTCGCCCACTTCATGAATGTCGTTGACCTCCTTTGGCATTATCAACTTCTTCACCTTCTCCTCGACTTGCCACCTCCACCTCTCACCTTCAAACCTCTTCATTGTCCTCGCTCAGCTGCATCATGTCCACCACCCACAGAGCGCTGTCATTTCGCCACCTTCTTCGCAATTACCTGCTGCTGCTTGATCTCCTCCTTTCCTTGTCAGTTCAGGCCCACTCTGCTGAATCTCATTGCTTAGCCACAGAAAGCAAACTGCATTGGCTGTTTTCCCCCCTGCTAATCCTACCCCATGGCCCACTACGCAGAGCCTGGCCGACTGGAACCCCCACCCTCTCCTCTCCCCGCCCCTCCTCTTCCCATACCTCGACCGCGACCAGCTGAATTCATGAACATCTGCATCATCTGCTCAAGCTGAGGGCCATCGATATTCAAGTTAAACCGCTGCTCATTACCTGCTGTGTCGGCACCGCCGTCTTGCGCATCCTCGCTCGTAACATCGCCCGGATTCCTGCCGAAGCGGTTGTCGACAACATCTATCCCAATCTGCGACGCCATGTTCAGCAGGTCTGGGATCATACCGGCGATTCCTGCAGGTAGACCTTGTGGCATGCCCGGAATTCCACCCATCCCCGGCATTCCGCCCGGACAAGCGTTGGGCATGTTGGGGGGCGCATTAGGCTGCAAGCAACAACAATCGGCGAACAAACAAATGCGGCGGCATCCATCAGCACAGAAAACAAACTTGATGCCTTTTCATCATCAATCCTCTGCTGTCAAGGAGAGGGAGTGTCTGCAAAAGGTGACAAGGACTACAACCACCAAGCAGAAGTGTCCAAACGTGGAATGCTTCTTTCCTTTTCGGTCTCTCGAAGACGGAACAAGCTTTCGTTCTTTCCTGTTTTTCACAAGCGTGTTCCTTTTACTTTCAAGCGTCTTGTGCATGTTCTAATCAGTCTGAATAGGAGGATATGTCATGGCTTAAGAAGGCCGCGAAGCAAGAAACCAGGGATTGGAAATGCACACTTGTGCGGACCGACCGACAGACCGAGCGACCCACAAACCGATAGACCAACAAACTGGCTGACAGACCGACCAAGCAGCCAGACGGACAGGGACCCTTTATGTTCTGTGCATATTCATCTCAACTCACTGGGTAAAAGGGCATGGCAATTACCGTCTTCACCCGAATAGAACGCCCGGTAATTATGGCCGTATCTGGACTGAAAAATGCATCAAATACAGCTATAATGACCGGGCGTTCTATTCGGGTGAAGATGGTAGACTGCAGATGCCTCGCAACATCGATGAAGAGTTCATGGTCAAACTGCAAACCTACAACGATCGCTTCACAAAAGGCCATTCAAAGGGCATTTGACAGTATAGCAAACATGTTGATTCCGACCCCCCCCCCACCCAACCAGAGTATGACAATAGAGTTCTGGTTGCAGCAATTGGTGGATAAAATACATCAAAAAAGAATTTTTGTTAAAACTCACCAGATATTATCGAGGTTGAGCGACAACTCACCGGATATTGAGGACCTGGAGCAGCAGATGGTCCAGGTGCGGGGCCAGGCCTTTGAGACTGTTGAGGAGCACCACCTCTGCCCGGATGTCTCGGCTGCTCTTGATGTGGCGGGGACTGATGCGGACTCCGACTTTGATTCTGTTCAGCCATGAACTGCTGCTGGGCCATCTGTCACGAGAGAATATTCACACAATCACACACCAAACGGTAGTTCACCAAACTGCATTGCAACCAAGAAACATGTCATCCTGCTCCGCATGTTCCTATCGAGTATCCTTTCGTTTTTTTTTTTGTTTTTTTTTTGCCATTCACTAGGCTACAAGAGATGCCTAACCCGGGCCGACCGCCGGGGCAACCAGAGGGAACCTGGAAGGACCCATCCGGGGTACCCGGGCAACAGCAAAAGGGGGGGGTCTTCTTTTTCTTTCTTTCGGTAGTGGGGCAGTTTTAAGCCAACTGAGCTGTGCCCAAATCCAGCCGTATCTTTGAATTTGGTGATATCTCACCAAAGGGTGTCCATGGGTTATAAGCAGGGTTTGCAGGGGCTTGCTTAAAAGGGGGCTTAAACCACCAGTCCATCACCCCCTGTACTGCTCATTTTGTTTTATGACAAGTACCGGGCCAAAATCTACAATGATCAGGCATGGAGGCGGCTTGGTGGGGGTGGGGGTGGCGGGCCCACAATTGAAAGAGAGAGCCACTGTGTGACGACATGGCATGTCACATAGAGCCGCACCCCTTTAGGCAGCACTCTGCAAGCTTTTGGATGTGCTCGCTGGAGTGTGGGAATGCACCTTCCCCACAAAGAGTCCAAATTCATGTCGAGTGTTATGTTGTAGAACATGCCCACACAATTTCGGAGCCTCGTCATTTCCCATGAACACAACCCTCCCAGCTCAGCAGGGCGGACTGCTGTTGTCCGCAAGAACTGTTCAAATACAGACCCGAGTTCGAATCCATCTGCCATACGATTAGTTCTTCCCTTTTTAAGCCTTTTGGCTAGCAAAGTGCAATGACGACACCTCAAGGTTGTGGCCCTATCGAAAGAAAAAGGAAGTTAAAAGCAAAGAGAAGGAAAAGAAATCAACACACAAAGAAAACAAGAATAAACTGCCTGCCAGCTCAGCAGGGCAGACAGCTGCACTTTGTGTCAAAGCAAAAGGGAAGAGCCCCACCGGCATACATCGGGGCAGACTGAACAAGGCCTTTCTAGACGTATCTGACTGCACTTACGGTCAGACCTGTATGAATCTGACTGCAATCAGGTCCAGAGCTTAGTAGAACGAGTCCTAGTGCGAGTATGCCCTCAGTTGGGTATTTTTTTCCCCTATTTATGCAATTCTTCGTAGTATACCGAATAAATTAGGAGGTGTTGCTGCAATAGGTCTTGTCTTTGTTTCACTATCTGCTTTACCTTTTATTAACACTTCATATGTACGAAGTTCTTTTTTTTTTTTTTTTTTTTTTTTTCATGTGTACGGAGTTCAACTTTTAGACCCATTCATCAAAAACGTTTTTGGTAAGAGCATTCCGAAAACTTATAGTTTCCCCAACCTGAAATCAACGGAACCAAATCACTGATGAGTCGGTGTACAGCGGAACCTTTGTGAGATTGTATTTTGCAAAACGAGTTTGTGAAAGAAGTGAGTGTTTCCTGTCCTGTGATTTCTTGGACGGAGCAACTCTGCTGACGAGCCCGGGGATTCAGACGCGGCAAAGCGTCTGCTCACCCACAAACTCTTGAAATGCAGCCCTAGGTTCAAATCCAGATACCTTGTGTTTGATACCTACAAAAACGTGGCCCTGTCAAAACAACGAAAAAGGAATCCAACCCCCAAAAGAAAACGCAAACAAAGAGAGAAATCGAAACAAAACGGACAGGCAGGCTGCAATGATGAGGCCTGCCTGCCTGCCTGCCTGCCTGCCTGCCTTTCCTTTCTGTCACACATGTTGCTGGCACTGGTACCATGTCCCACCTGGTTGAATCTGCGGTCACTGTGGATGTTAGGCTCGGACAAATGCACTTTGGGTTAGGCAATTTAGCCTCCAGAATTGGACTGGTGGTTTGAAGCGGTGCGACCTAGGCCACCCGTTTGGCGCTGGGGCTGCCTGGAACCCTGCCCAGGATTCATGCCCTGACGGGCACCTGGGCGTGTATCCGGGCACAAGTTGGGTGCCCGCCGGGACAAACACCCTAGGATTATTTTGATTTATTTTTTTGTTGTTGCACCAAGGCTGTCCGGGACCTTGACAGGGACTTCGCCCAGACCTGGCCCGGCCAGGCCACCTGGGCCAGTCTGAGGCAGCCCAGGCGGTGCAACTGGTAGCCCAGACTATTTCTCGATTCATGGACGTCATCCTTGTGCAGGGGCCTTTCTGACCAACGCTAAGATTCCCGGCCGCCCAGATCCTCTTGGGTTGCCTGGGGCAGAGCCCCAGGCATTGGGTTGAATGGCCAATTTCACATGTCCAAAGTCGGGCGATACCACAACTCGCTAGGCGTTGCCTCGTGATTTACCTCACAATAGGGCAGCCCCAAGCAGCCATTTGGCAAAATGACTGGAGTCGGTGGGCACGCAGAAAGAAGAAGACGGCACAATCACCATCATTATCACGATCATCATTTTCTCCCTCGTCCTCCTCCTCCTCCTCCTCCTCCTCCTCCTCCTCCTTAGCGCCTGGTGGCACTCACAATCCCACAACATGCCAGATGGAAAGTTCCCCGGTGATTTCCACACACAATCATCAATACTGCGACTGGCCACATAGCAGCACAAGGGGAAAGGGGGGAGGGAGGGGGGAGGGGAAAAGGGGGAGGGGAAAGTGGAAGAGGAGGGGGATGAGAATGACAAGAAGGACCAAGAGGAGGAGATTGGAGTGTAGGAAGAAGAAGAGGGGCAATAAGGGAAGCAAGACAAAGACAGGAAAATGGAGGAGGACTACTTGTCCAACCTCCCCTAGCTTCCGCAGCGAAACCTGCCTTCCCTCCGCTGATGTGTAAACCCAACACCAAACATGGTGGTTCTGCTTGTTCTTCCAAGAACCAGGGAAGGCCGTTTTCAAGGATGCGGAGAAGGCCGATTTTGAGATTACAAAAGAAGAAAAAAATATGGCGCCCAGTCTGACATGCACGGCGCACTCGGGTGTGTGAGATGCACCCACCAGTGCCCTGGCTGCACAGCCCTGCCTCTTCACCTGGGTGTCTTTCGTAGCCTAGCTGTTCATAGCCAAGCCTAAGTATCGTAGCATAGCTATTGATACCCAACCAACCATTGCAATTCAGACTATGATAGCAAAAAACTATTGCAACCATAGCAATTCAGACTCTGCTAACAGCAATCAACATCAGACCACCGATTCATTACACGCCGATCCTCATCAGCCCCTTGGTTTAAGGAAACTCTGAGCAAAATTTCCGCTCTGCACTGACAACTGCCAAACTGTGATCACATCGCTATGGATCTGACTTTCCTAAGCCTTTTCCTCGATGGCGCACCCTGCGCACATCTTCTTTCCACCAGAGTTGTGCTACAGGTACCTCATTCATATGTGAGGCGAAGCGAGCTTCCACGGAGTTCGAGCAAGGGTAAAGGAACATCCTCCGCCTTTACCATTTGCGCCTTCGCATGTACTATGTGTACAAAGCACGAGTTCAAACCCAAGTGTGTAAAATATACGTAAGTGAGCAACAAGGGAAGCCACGAGTTCAAACCCAAGTGTGTAAAATATACTTCAGTGAGCAACAAGGGAACTAGCTTTCAAGGAAGCGGTGTTGGATTACCTGCAAGTTGTCCCGGCACGAACTGTTCAAAGGATCCAGTTCCAACGCTGCATTTCAACACACCAACCAAGCGAACAAAGAAAGAAACAAATAAACAAAAAGAAAGGCATCACAGAAAACCAGTGAGCATCGGCATCACCGGATATAAGAGACGTGAAAAGAGAGAAAACAAAACGACAACCAAACAAAACCAAGCAAAACCAAACAAAAAAGGATGTGAAACGAAACAAAACCTGAAATGCCCAGATGAAATCAATGAAACCAGACGAAAGCAAACTGAAGCCAACCCAACCCAACCCAACCCAACCCAATGCAACCCAACCCCATGCAAACCAACACAGCCCAAACCTAAGCCTAACCCTACCCAACCCACATACGCAGAGTAAGCCGTAAACCAAAAGCAAAACAGAACAAGACAAGAACCGAGATGCCGAATTCGTTTTCATACTAGCAAGCGCCAACTACCAAATTCGTTTCATACCCGATCTACAATCACAACCTCCAGAAACTAGTAATCCTAAATGCTGAACCTCAAACCGAGATCCTAGAGACCTTCTTGCTCAAGAAGGTCAGGGTCTCGCAGACTAAACCATGGCTGATCTTCCAACCAGAACTCGGCATAGGAGATTTGGAAATCGACCCCAAGTAATGGCTGTGGAATCAGGATAATACAAGCAGAACAAGAACGATATTCGAATATGATGTGAAATTCGGGTACGGTCTCGGTCTCTACAGACGTAGATCCAAACTCTGGACTATTAGAGAAATGGAGAAAGATTCTGAGTCTGAACTCTGCAGTCTCCTTCACCATTCCATGGGCAAAATCCCTCCCCATCAGACCGGTAAGAATCTGCAGCATGCAACGGCTCATAGCCCACACAGCTCTGCCCGTCAACCAATGGCTCCACAAAAGGAGACAACAATCGGATCCCAATAGCTCAGAACTACGCGTAATGTGCAACAGCAATGCACCGGAAGAGATCCCTACTGTCTTCCTTTTTTTCCTCAAAGCAGCCTGCGTCTACAACAAGATCTGGGTGCTTTGGTCCACCCTCTTCTCTAAACACCCATTTCGGATGCCCTCTAACAAAATAGGGAGCTCTTCAAAGCACCCATTTCGGATGCCCTCTAACAAAATACTCTCAAACGTGTGCGCTAGTCGTCCAACAACTTACCCCATCAGTCATCACACAGCCACATCACCACTGTTTTGCTCTGATATTCTTTCCAGAAAAAAAAATAATGTCCATCGGAACAGTGAATATTGTGGCTTGTTTCATCCACCTGGTACAGAATCTGTACCACCCCGCTCTGTCCGGAATTGCTGCTATGTTCAAGCCAGAACTGGGGTAGGAGAACCTGGTACCAGGGCAAGCCGAAACAGGCATGAACGAAACGGTAGCAGGCATTGGTTCCACGATGGTGAACTGATTCCCACCCAAAAGCAGTGGTACACCAGGAGTAGGTGGTGCTGTTTCGATTGGAGTCACATTGTGTTGTGGTGTCAGCACCGTAGCTATCAGACATGTTGTGGCATCATGACCGCAGTCTGTCAGACGTCCATTGCGTTGTGGTGTCATTCACCACTATGGGGTTTGCATTCGACTTCGTACGACAGTTGATCCCTGGCCCTCATCTCCACCTCCTTCCCCTCCCTTCCTTCCCCCAGCAGGTAGGCCAATGCTTCCTGTGGCCGGCAAGTGTATACTACCGACGGTTGTCGTCATCACTGGAGCCCATGGTGGTCTGACTGAATGTAACAGATCCCTTCCCAACCCTCTTCTACGCCCTCACGCTCTCCCTTGAACCTCCTTCCCCTCTTCCCTCATCGATCCAAGTCACCCTCAACCCTTCTGCAAATGTGCCACATCATCCTTCTCGACCCGAACCCAAACGGAGAAAGAACTCTGAAACTTCTTCCCTGATTGCAACATTACCAGCCTTCCTCCCGCTGGTTTCCAGATCCCCACTTCCCTCCCCCCCTTCCTCCACAACCCAAGTCTGTACTTTTTGCAAACACCTCTCTGACCTGCACGTCCTCTCAGTTGTTCACAGAAACTGTCTCGGACCCCCATTTTCCACGACCCCGATACCCCTCCTCCCACATATTCTCCATCTCGAAGGCAGGTCATGGCAGGACATGCTTTGTTTTTTTATGTCATGCCAAAGCTCTACACAGTTTCGGTGCCTCGTCCAGTTTCATGTGATGTGTCATAACGTTCAAGATTTCTCTTTCACCTTTGATGCGGTCATTGGCAACAAGGACAAGAAGCACCAAACAGAGCAAAACAGTCAGTGAACAGCACTCGGTGCAAAGCTTTAGCTTTCTCTTCACATTGTTTACCTTTCTGATACCATTCAACAGCATCCCTGTACTTCCCAAGCTCAAAGTACGCTGTTCCTAGTCGCCCATATGCCTTTGCGTATTTCGGATCCAACTCGATTGCTCGTTTGCAATCCCGTATTGCCGCAGAGTAGTCATGAAGATGCGTGTGTGCAACAGCCCTGTTGAAGCCCAAAACACCAACAAGTTAGCTCAGAAACTTCGGACAGAGTTTCTCATCAGAAAATACATCGCGAACACCCCTTTTCCCATGACCAGACTCACCCTGTTCGCTAATGACGACCAAGACTGGGCATAGGGTTCTTCCAGCTGAACTGTACAAGCACCAGGAGCCCTCTGTCTCTCTGAAGAGATCAGATCTATTATCCGCGTTTTCAAATTTCACCACAGCGTTTGTCTGGGGATGTCTCCACCGTGCCTTGGTTCAACCCATTAAAAACAATATTGTATACATCAGTTCCTGTTGCATCCTGCTCTGTACAGGGTTGTGGTATCGTACGACTTTGCACTGACGACTTTGTACTGACGACTTCATACTGGATACTACAGGATAGCATCGCCACAGGGCAGAACTCACAACAGGTATTCAGTATTTGCATTAAAAAATCAGGAGCCTCGTATGCACGAAATTGTGCCATTGAAATGTGGAGATCCTCTCAGTTATGAATTCTACAGCAGTTGCAACCAATCATTAGGTTTCCACAACAACATAGATACACTGCTGTAGCTGGTACAGCTGATACACACAAACACGCATTCACAGACGTTCACAGCCCTGCCTTTTCTCCAAGCTGCGGTTCTCCGCAAACATGCTTTTCCCCTCTGCAGACTCGCTATCAATGTTCTGTCCAACCCATGTCTGACGGGAGGTCTCTATACGATATTCTGCTCCACGGACCAAAAAGCCAGAAGGGGTTCTGAGTTCGAGAATCGATTGTTTTCAGGGTGTCATGAGACGGAGACTGCTTGTTTCCTACACAGCCGCTGCGAAAGCCCCCCCCCTTCTCCAGATATCGGATATTCTGCATCCACACGTGAAGGTCCCCATCAGCGTGAATGGTGGACTGCTGCCTACTTTGCTGGCTGATACATGATGAATACTCTTGTGCATTGGCGGCTTGTGGATTCATGTTATTAGTCCGGACGGTTCAGCCTGGCCATGCCACCATTCATTTTACCTTTCCCTTGTCCCTTACCATGATCCTTGAGCTTTGCCATGAGAAAGGGTGCAGGTGTGCGGTTTTTGCAGGATATTAGGTAGAGCCTACTCAACCATAGAAACATTAGAAGCATTCCTTTTTTTTATTTTAATGCTTTCCAGTTTTTTAGATTCACATAAAAGCAATCTCTCTCTCTCTCTCTCTCTCTCTCTCTCTCTCTCTCTCTCTCTCTCTCTCTCWCACACACACACACACACACACACACACACACACACACACACACACACACACACAGACTTTATTTGCCAACACAGAGTGCAGAGCGACAAATGCCAGGGCAAACTTCTCAGTTCATTTTGTGGCGCTACTCTTACACTTGCCTTTTTCTTGCTGAGCACAGTCACATAGTTGTTACAGCTAGAGCTAAGAGTTGGGTAAACTTGCCAAATATAAGCAAACACCTTCCGATGGACAGATAAATCAACCCTATCATATTTACCAGCGTAATCCTATCCTAGGTCACCCAATACCTGGGTCCCTCCCACCCCTCTCAGCCTCCAAAGTAAAAAGACAATCTTCCTAGCATTGAGAGAACTTTAGGACATCCATTAAAATTTGAAGATACACAGAGAGAGAAGAATAGCATGGCCCCTGCGCAAAGATGACACGCATAAATTGAGAAATGGTCAAAAAAAAAACAAAAAAAACTTGTTGATCCTCCCTGTAACCATATGCTTGTCTCAAAGACCAAGCCATGCATGCCTAAGTGTGAACACTTTCGCCTCATTACTCAGTTGTTCAACAAAGAAAAAAACAACTTTACCCTGCGCCTGTGGCATGAGTATATTAATGTATCCGAACAAAAGCTACAACCGTCTTTCACCACCTGTCTCACCTGTTTGCATAGTAGATTGCTGATGTGTCAACCAGGGAAATAGCTCTTGTATACAGTTCCACTGCCTGCTGATACTGTTTAGCACTGACAGCAGCATTCCCTACACTCACATACACACACACACACACACACACACACACACACACACACACACACACACACATGCACGTCCACAAGCACAAACACATACATACATAGAAAAACATGAGCAATCTACTGGTTTTGAGCCAACCATTGCAGACCACATCCTTGTGAATGTGAATAGCCTCATCTACGATGTGAGGTCATCACGACAGCTTTCCCCACCGCAGCTCTTGAAATTATTGTTTCTTAATAACAACCACTCATTCACCTGCTATTAGTATACACGACCTCAAAGATTTTCAATTTGGACCGAGCTCGTCATTAACGACTCAGTTAAAAATGGAGGAAAAGAAGGACGATTATGACTATAAAGTAGTATAAACGAATGAAAGCTAACACAGAAAGGACAGGGAGAAACAAAAGATGCCTCCAAAAAGTGAGAAAAAAAGGGAAAAAAAGAACAAAGCCGTACTGAATTACAAAATAAAAAACAAAGAAAAGGCAACCGTTGCAAATCCTTGACATCCAGAGTTAACAGCAGCTAATAGGACTATTCGTTGTGTGCACAATGCACATCCATACTATACAGACTATAGTCACTTTACAGAGTTCTTTCAATCGAAGTTTCAAATTCAAAAATAGAAAAGAAACACACAGTCTATAGCCCCTTGTGCTCTGGAACACTCGAAATGGAGAGCAAATCGAAAAAAGAAAAAAACAAGAAGGTGGCGAATAATTAAACGAAAGAGCGCAAAAGCAAGAATGGGAAACAGATTCAGACACGTCAAGGACACTATTACATGCTCCATGGTACAACAGCAATTGTAACAGAAGGGGGTGTGCAAGGCATTCAACCTTTGGCTTTCAATTCCTCTGCCAACGCTTTGGCGTCCTCTGGTTGTCTTCTTGCATCTTCCTTCTGTACCCTTTTCGTCTCCTCTTCGGCCTGGAAGTAATGCAATCAACCCACACGAAACGCGAGAGATGAATAAGGTACTGCAATTGATGCCTTCTAGCTTTTGTGGGT